GTGTTTGGACATTTCCATGAATTGGATGTGTTTTGGATAAGTGCTCTCCATTGCTGCCCTCAGACCTATGGGGCATTTCAGTGCACAATTTTACTGATGAATCTATGACGGCTGCACTTCTCTGGTGCACCGGCCTCCTGGAGACATTAGTGAAATGGTCTGCATGCTCATTTCACCTAATTGCATGGATGCTCTGCAGAAGACTGAGGGGTCCCAATACTTCTCCTGCTCCGAGCAGTTGGGGAGATTTAAACCCTGCTGGGGCTAAATATGTTGCAGGCTGTAAAAGCTCTATTATCAAAATCGATACTAACAAGAGGTAGGAGCATCAAATGATAAATCATTGACATACAGTGGCTTCAATTGCAGATTGAAAGAAATTTGCAAAACTGTGCACACTCCTAAACCAATCATCCTAAAACATTCATGATTCAAAACAGCATTCAGTCTTCTTTGGTTGGAGTCTGTCAGCAAGCCACATCTTGACTTGGTAAGATTCGACCCGCTGTACCTTAGAAAAGTTTTCCAAATTTGCCCACAGCCCTCTTGGGCTCAGCAGTGCCGGTCCAAAACTGAAGTTCTATTCTGGTGAAGTCATTCTTTTATTGGTTTGGAGGCGTGCTTTGATTGTTGTGTCCCTTCATCTTCAGCTTTCTACTGGATCCCTGAAGGTTTTGTTTCACAGCTGAATGGTTTTTGAAATTGTTCATGATTTCATCCACCTTGACGGGAACCCTGGTTCCAGCTCAAGAAAGCTAACCCCAGATCATGATGCTACTGTCACCATGTTTCACTGTGGGCATGTGTTTCTGAAGAAATGTGGCCCAAAAATGTAAGTTTGGTTTCATTAGACCATAAAATATTCTTTCACTAAGTTAGGGAGATTTTAGCCAGACCTGAATGTTTTCTTTGGATGAAAAATCGTGTTTTTTCAAGCCTACTTTTTAGTCCAAACATACAAAGAATACGAACATTTATACGAAACGAGACAGTTGTCCTTCATAGAAAACAGCCAGTAAATAAAATAGATGCTTTCATCTTCTTGACAGTTTTTCATCGGTTATGGAGAAATATCTAGTTCTATTAATGTCACTGTATCCCATATTATTCCCCAATAACTGCTAACTGTTTTCACTGGTCCATGGTATATGCATGATGCTGTGGACTTTTTGTGCTCTTCTCCTGACAGATACATTTGTGATTATTTTGATCCTTTGTAACCTAAAACTGTGGCTTTAACTGAAGGAGTAAAGTGTAAAAAAAACTTCACGGAAAGCCTAACTTTCATTCAGATTAATCAGAATTACTATAACTAATGTTAGGTGTGAATCCAAGAGGTTAAAATGTTGAAATTGGATCAAAAGGTTCACAAAATTTAAATTAGTTCATAAAATAGTTTAAAGGTGAGAACCCTTTTTTATTTTTCTTTAAAATGTTTTTCATTTTCTTTCACATGAATTGCACAAGGTGTATCAAATTAGTGTAAAAGTTTTAACATGTTTTTTTTTCATGGCCTAATATTTTATGACACAAAAACCTGGCTTTTTGACAGGGGGGTGCAAATCTTTGAGAGCCACTGTGTGAAAATGTTTACCATGAAAATGAGATGTTTTCTGAGTGTGAAATCCCTGGAAGTCATGCATGTGGATCTGGTTTCCAGAGGCAAGCTCCTGAAGTCTGACATAACCAGTTTTCTATCGACAGGGAGCCTGATTTAGAGGTCTGGTCAGCATTGGTTCTGAATGTCACTCTTTGGAGGTTTGTCTGGGCTCGTCTTAATGGAAAGTGGGACCCTGTGGCAGAGGTTTGGGTTTCATTGGAGAGGGATGTCTAGGAACCCTGCTTATGTGGACGGACGGACGGACGGACGGACGGACGGACGGATGGATTCAAATGATTTCAAACAGAACCTAATCCTCCAAGCTGTTAAAGTGAGAGCAGAGCAGCAGACGGGAGAATTAAAAGTTCAAACTAAGCTGCCATAAAAAGCCCAGCAGGGATTATTACTGTCATCTTTATTATCTCTCATTGCACATTACCATATGTCTTGAGGCAATCATTTCATCACTCATTTCCAAATAATGATCATCACCATGTTGATCTGAGGGCAGACGCTCGGCTTTGCTGGGTTGCTGAGATGAAACAATGAAATGAAACAAATTTAGAACAGATCAGGAGCTTTGATGTCTGTTTGTCAGAGAAATCAATAAGGGATATGGTGCTGCTTCTGTAACATGTATATCGCAGAATGAATGTGCCAGTTGTGCCAGCGTTGCAAAGTGTGAATGCAGTATGAATACATTAACCATCATCTGTTGCATTTATTGTATAATACTGTATATAATAATAACATAATATTGTGCAATCTGGTCTTAATCCAAAAAAGTTTCCACATCTGTGCCCTTGACGAAAGACAGCCCTCATTACAGGTAAATGAAACCACTTGCCATTAACTGTGCCATGCAAATGAAATTATCCACAGCTGTCAGACCCCACAGACCGGACAGAGAGCGAGACTTTCTCACCCCTCACTCACACCCTCCCACCATGTCTAGTTTAATTATTCCAATAAATAAGGTTCATTAACACAAGCAGAATGAAGAAACCTCAATATAATGTTTGATGAACACAAAGACAATAAGCTTGCTGTTTGTATCTTCTCCTATTAACTAGCAGTGTTTTCCTGAAACTTTCTTCTAAACCTTCTACTTCAAGTTTGCTGTTACAGAAATGTAACAGCAAACAAGCTCTGGTCTCTTCTTGTGATCTCTGAACAGTTTAGCCTTCCATCAGCACATTTGTCCGGTCCTAAATAAATCCACACCCTGACATCTCATACAGTGAGCGTCTTGTGCAGCTGTGAGGGCTCAGTGGTACAGGTGTTGGATTTTAAATACAATCGTGACTCACTGCTCATAGTGAGAGAAGATGCTGCAGCATTTTCTGAGCTTATACTTATCAATATGTTGGTTACAAGATGACCAAGTGTGATGATTTCACGTACCGTTAAGCCCAGAGTTATTCACACTGCTGGCAGATTTAAACTAATCTTTTAATTTTACAAACATGATAATTGTAACAGGAAATAATATTAACACTCGGAGCAGCCCAGCCAAAGTCTCGACTTTTCTCTGATACAGAATCAATGTTTTATTATCATTTCGTTGATGCCTGTCTCATTTCATATCAGATGTGCCAGGGGTACGAATAAATTTGGGCTGAAACAGGAGTCACTGGTTTGAACGGATACTCGCCTCTTGAGATATGACCCTGGCCATCTGTCCTCTTCAGCTTCTATCCTTTAGACCTGTTGGAGCAACCCATAAACCTAATGCTGCAGGAAGGCTGGAGGCTGAAGGCTGCAGGCTTCCCGTCCCGAGGAGGATCCCGGCAGAAAGAAAAATAGGAATGACAAACAATAAATTGAACGGATGTTGGTAGAAATTAAGGAGGACGATGTCCTGAATGCACCTGGTTTCATTAAACCAAATTTGAATACAACAGTTCAGGCTGCCTTTGAATGCACTGATTAGCTTTGGACACTTTTTGCAGTGCTCTATTTCGCAGAAGTGTTTTAGGTGTACTTTTATGACAATAATTAGTCTCATCAAGAATTAACAGTATAAATTCAAATGTGGTTGAAATAGAGAAATGATGATGAAGAAGGCATTGTACGAATGGATGAGATGGATGAATGGGATGAAAACAGGTTCCTAAAAAATTGATAAACTAGATGAGTGAGATGAAAAAGGATCAGGAGAATGAGTGGGATGGGGACCAATGCAAAGATGAATGAAGTGGCTTCTTAAAGAAGTAGGAAGATAAAGAACCTGAAATCTGGATATGTTTTCACAACACTTGGCTCACTACAGGTGTGTTACACTGTTTTCTAGATCTTAGCAGCACTTAAACAGGCAATTTTACATCGCTGTGAGCAAGGTTCAAACCTGTTTGGGGAAACCCCACTGGATTTCCAGTCCAATATAATATATAATAGAATAATATAAGTGGACGGGCTGGGCTAAGGAAGGATAGTTTAAAAACAAATAGGTGAGATGGGTTGGAGGAAGCAGGTGAAGAATTAATAGTAAAATTTAACATTAACATTTAAATTTTATTTAAAATAGGGAAATGATGAGGAAGAAGGCTTTGAAAGGATGGATGAAAAGGATGAATGGGATAAAATCGGGTTCCTAAAGAGTGGATCACGCCAAAATGAGAAGAAAGAGTGGCTTAAAATAGTTAATACACAAAAGATCAAGTGATTCACTGGGATGAATAGAGTGAAAGAGGGGGATAAAGTTGATGTGTGAAAAATATGACCAAGAGGAGTGATGGGGAGAATGAGTGTTATAAAAAAGTTTCATAATAAGCAGTTTGGTCAATGAGTGGGATGTAAAATGGTTGTCAAAAGAAACCAGTATGATTGGTAGGATGGGGACTATCACTAATGGGAAGAGAGGTCAAAATAATCAGTGAGATGAAAAAGTTTCTTAAAAGTACCCAGAGGATGGGTGAGGGGTGAAAAGGAGGATGAGGAGGATGAACTGACTGACAAAAGTGTGTAAAAGTCAGAAGCTTCATTGGCCAAGTTAGTGCAAACAAACAAGGAATTTGACTTAATGTACAAAGAAGGATGGGTGAAGAGAGAAGATGAGACATAGACTGAGGTTGAGTGATTGAGGGAGGAAGAAGGAAAGGGGTATGGAGTAGCCTTAAGTAGAGTATCCATGTGATTACAGGTGTGGAAAGGAGAAACTTGCTTACGAGCCAGACACCTGAGTCTCCACAACTGTTCATCTATCTTTTTAAGCTACACATCTCTAATGTTCATATCATGTTTAAATCCAACGGAAACTACAGTACAAAGTGTTCAGAAGCTCACAGGAATTATCCACATTCAGGAGAACATTTGCACTAATTTTTCTGGATCTATTTAGGCAGGCAGATACAGTTTTTTGGAATTTTTTTATAAACTGAAGTAGAAAGATCCATCAAATCGCTGTGAGCAGGGTTCGTACCTGCCATTGGATTTCAAGTCCAACACCTTAACCTCTCGGCCATCACAGCAGTAGCCCCATGTGGGTTCTCAGAAGAAAGAGTTGAAAAAGGGGTCATACATAGGAATAGATGTAGGCACTGTTAGAAAGCTACAGTACCAACAGTTTAATGAGGAATCCGTTCATAAGGTCAAAAGAATCAGGTGAACATCTGAATTAATCTTTCTGGCTCTGTTTAGGCAGACAGGCATGGTTTATTTGGTTTTCTTTTTATCCCAGGGAAAATACTCTTTGGCGTTGAAAAATATGATTTAAAATAGGGAAATGATGATGAAGAAGGCTTTGTAAGGAGGAGTGAGAAGGACGAATGGGATGAAAATGGATTCCTAAGGAATGGAAAACGCCGTGATGAGAACAAAGAGTGGATTTGTGATCAACTACAGAATGAGTGTTACAAAAAAGGTTTATAATAAGCAGTTAGGTCAATGTGTGGGATGTAAAACAGTTGTCCAAAGAAACCAGTATGATTGGTGGGATGGGGACTATCGCTAACGGGAAGAGAGGTCAAAATAATCAGTGAGATGAAGAAGTTTCTAAAACGTACAAGGAGGATGAGTGCGGGTGAGAAGGAGGATGAGCTGACAGACAAAAGTGTGTAAAAGTCAGAAGTTTCATTGGCCAAGCTAGTACAAACAAACAAGGAATTTGACTTAATGTATAAAGGAGGATGGGTGAAGAGAGAAGATGAGACATGGACTAAGGTTGAGTGATTGAGGGAGTGGAGTATGGAGTAGTCTTAAGTAGACTATCCATGTGATTACAGGTGTGGACAAGGAGAAACCTTGCTTACAAGCCCGACACCTGGGTCTCCACTACTGTTCATTTATCTTTTTAAGCTACACATCTCGAATGTTCATATCATGTTTAAATTCAACAGAAACTACAGTACAAACAATTTACAGATGAACCCATTCAGAAGCTCTCAGGAATCAGGAACAAAGTAGGAGAACATTTGCACTAACTTTTTCTGGATCTGTTTAGGAAGTCTTTTGGATTTTTTTAATAAACTAATTTAGAAAGACCCAATAAATCGCTGTGAGCAGGGTTCGAACCTGCGCGGGGAAAACCCATTGGATTTCAAGCCTTAACCTCTCAGCCATCACAGCTTGTTGCTGCTCCTGGGGTCTCAGAAGAAGGGGTTGGAAAAGAGGTCATACACAGGAATAGATGTAGGCACTGTTGGAAAGCTACAGTACCACCAGTTTAAGGAGGAATCCATTCAAAAGGTCAGAAGAATCAGGTGAACATCTGCATTAATCTTTCTGGCTCTGTTTAGGCAGACAGGCATGGTTTATTTGGATTTTCTTTTAAACCCAGGCAAAATACTCTTTGGTGTTGACAAATATGATTTAAAATAGGGAAATGATGATGAAGAAGGCTTTGTAAGGAGGAGTGAGAAGGACGAATGGGATGAAAATGGATTCCTAAGGAATGGAAAACGGCATGATGAGAAGAAAGAGTGGATTTGTGATCAAGAGGAGCGATGGGGAGAATGAGTGTTACAAAAAAGGTTCATAATAAGCAGTTAGGTCAATGTGTGGGATGTAAAACGATTGTCCAAAGAAACCAGGAGAATGGGTGGGATAGGGACCACTGGGAAGAGAGATCAAAATAATCAGTGAGATGAAGTTTCTAAAAAGTACAAGGAGGATGGGTGGAGGGAAAGGATGATGGATTGACTGAGGATGAGTGATCAAGAGGGAAGGAAAGGGGTGTTGTGAGAATAACAGAAATGTGCTGCATGTGAGAGACAGGTATAAGTAGACTTTTTATCTGACTACAGGTGTGGACAAGGAGTAAACTTACTTGCAAACCAATATGACACCTGGGTCTCCATGTGGTCTTCTATCTTTTTTAAGCTAAGATCTACTCATCTTCACCATTCATATCATTTTTAAATCCAACAGAAATTACAGTACAAACAGTTTATAGTTGAATCCATTCAGAACCTCACATGAATCAAGAAAGAAGGACATAAGAGAATGTTTTGTGACTGTGTTTAGGTTTGAAAGGCATGTATTGTCTGGACTTTTTAAAAACATTTTTGCATTTGACAAGTAAATAAGGTACCTCATATCACTCTGATAAGGGTTCAAACCTGCACGGGGAAACCCTGTTGGATTTCGACTGCAATGCCTTAACCTCTTGGCCATCACAGCTGCTGACAGCTCTGGGTTCTTAGAAAAAATGGTTCTATAGGGGTCATAAATGGGAATAAGATGGAGGGGAGGCATTGTTGGAAAAATGGGTGAGCAGGATGAGTTGGATGGAGGGGCTAATAAAACAGATGAAGGGGTTTGACCACTGGGTGCCTACAGCTGTGATGGCCGAGAGGTTAAGGCGTTGGATTTGAAATCCAATGGGGTTTCCCCACGCAGGTTCGAATCCTGCTCACAGCGATTAAATATAACCTGTTTTCTAATCTCAAGAAGAGCTTTAAATAGAGAAATATATTCTTGTCTGCCTTGTCATGGCCAGAGATTAGAGTTGGTTTTCTCTGTAAACTCCTTGTGCGGTTCTGTAGCATTTAGACATGACTCTAAAAAAGTCATTTTTTTTATCTGCCACCAGATTTTTATATTTAAAATGTGTGTACATTGAGTCAAATTCCTTGTTTGTTTGCACTAATTTGGCCAATAAAGCTGCTTCTTATTCTGACTTTTACACACCTTTGTCAGTCAGCTCATCCTACTCATCCTCTTCTTACCACACACCTCCCCCTTCAGAGGTAAAAGGCATCAGACTTGAAATCTGATGGGTTTTTTCCATACAGATTCAAACCCTGCTCACAGCCTTGTAGAGTCACTAATGTGAAACTAAGATTGGTTTTCTCGTATGTTGCGAAGACAGTTTAAAGATGACAAATTTATACTACAGAACCCAAAACTTATGTAAAATCTTAAAGAGGACAAACACACTACTCTAAACAAAGCACAAAAGTGCATTATTTATTTGTTAATTTTCACAGACATTATTCTGTTTTCTATAAATTCTTCTTTTCCACAGGTTCATCTGCCAACTAGTTTTGTGCAGCGATTTCAAATGGATTTAAAGCAGATTATAGTTTAGAACACGCTGAACTGTACTTGTTGTCAGGATTCAGATCTTTCCTTTACCCCCAGTACCAGGGGCAGAATTTAACTTTTGTTTTCTTCTACTAACTTTACTGCAAGTTCCATTAGTTAAACATAGACATGTGTGGTATTCACAGAAATAGTAGAATCTTGGCTAAAAGCTCATATAAACTATTTCTGCAAACACCAAAAACAGTTAAAACTAAAGGCAGTTGAATCAGAAAATAAACAAACTCCACAAAAGGATGTAATCGCAAATCTCGGTGTCAGCTGTTCACCACACGGCTTCTACACACACAACCAGCATGTCTGCTGTAGCAGAGAGCTCCCAGATTCCAAAAAAATCATTTTGTCACAATCCACCCAGGTTTTACTCAACCAGGAGCAAAGGAAGGCCAGAATTATCACTGCCATTTGAAAAACATAATTATTAACATATTGATTGTTTAGGTAGAGTATGTCAATTCTCAGAAAAATTCAGTTAGATTTGTGCATGTTATTTTGAGCCTCAAACTTCAGAAAACCTTCTTGGGCTTAAGAGGTTAACAACTCTTTTCATACCACCCATCTTGCTCCTTCTTCCTGTTCTTCCTTTTTCACTAACCTATGAACCCTTACTTTCTCCCATTTATTGTCTTGATCCTGTTAAACCCCTTCATCTGTTAATTGACCCCCTTTCATCCCACTCGACCTGCTCGTCCATCTTTCAAACAATGCCTCCAACTCATCCTATGCCCATTTCTCCCGTTTCTTCTAACCAGGCAACTCTTTCTCGGGCTGTGATGGCCGAGAGGTTAAGGCGTTGGGCTTGAAATCCAATGGGGATTCCCCACGCAGGTTCAAACCCTGCTCGCAGCGATATGAAGTAGACTTCTTTTCATTACCCAAAGACTTTTTCTTTGATACAAAAAATCTCCAAATAAACCATACCTCTCCACCTAAACACAGGCAGAAAAAACTCTGTGTTCTTCCATATTTTTAAGCCACAACTCACATCACACTCCACTGTTCATATTGCGTTTAAATCCAAGAGAAATTACAGTACAAATAGTTTACAGTACAAATAGTTTTCTGTGAAAAGGACAACCAACGGGGGTATTTTTAGACAGCAGGAGTACTTGGTTACTGTAGAGAAATGAATCTAGCACCAAGTTAAATTATACTATTGTACAACTGAACAATTACTCTCATATATTTATCAGTCAAACAATTTATCAATCTGATATGATTTATTGCCTAGAGTTTTATTTATTTCTCAGTGTCACTCTTTACTAACAAATCAGAGACAATGAACACTTCAGCTAAGAAAACTACCATGAGCTGGTATTGAAATCAAAAATATTTTTCACTATTCAACCTAATTGCAGCTGTTTAAAAAACAGCAGCAAAGTTAAAGGCATGCAGGAAGCATTCAGATTCACACCAAGATAAAATATGAAAATAAGAAATAAGAGACTGTACAAGATCACATTTACAACATAAGAAAAAATAGTCTACAGTTATTAAAAATAGCATACTCAGATCTAAGAAATGTGCAACTGAATAGGATAATTTAGGAATATGTACAAACTGTCCATGTATATTTGTGTATAAAAACGAAATAAGAAATAACAATGAAGAATGTATAATTACTACTATGAACAAAAATAAGACCATGGCGACAATTAATAAATGTTTAACAATCTAATTATTCAACTGATTAAGATCATACTGTTATCCAGACTTCATCAGACTTTCATGAAACAATGTGTGGAAAGATCTCCACTTAATCTCAGTACCATTTGATTAAAAGGCAAACAAAGGGAAAGGAATGAGGTCCCTACTCTACAGATCAGTTCTTATCCAGGTTCAGATCAGCTTATTCTCAACGCCCAGCAAGCAGGCAGTCAAAAGCGGATCACTACTTTCTCTTTCTCTCTGGTTGAAGTAAACTCTG